TCATTTATCCCATCTTTCTCAGTTTCCCCCCAACCCCAATGTCAGTCCTGTTTTACAACAGTGGCACCATGCAGTATTTGTCCTTCTGTGACTGAGATATTTCACTCAGCATAATGTCCTCCAGGGTCACCCATTTTGTATAATATTACATGAGTTCCTTGTTTTCCAATGCAGCGTGATATTCCATTGTGTGAATATACCAGGGCCTCTCTATCCATTCATTTGTTGATGGGCACTTAGGTTGTTTCCAAAACTGTTGAATTCTTACTATAGAGTAAAATAAGGACACTAAGTTGAACAACACTTGTCCCCTGCCCTCAAATAGCTTACTGATTATCTAAAAGAGAAGAAAAGTTACCTACATTAAATACTTAAACTCAAGACTGGTGCTGTAAATGCTGTGGCTACTTGAAGAAGGGGCAGAGCAGTGTGGTATGATGTGATTGAGGAAAATTCCAAAGAGGGAGTAAGACTTGAGAGACATGGCTCTCTATTTAAATGGAATTTAGAGTCAGATGAGGTATCAGAAGAGCATTGAAAACACGAGTATGTTGACTTCAAGGGACAAAGAGAGGTGATGATGACTTGAGATAGAACAATGAAATAGAATCAATGACGAGTGAAATTTTGGAAGTGGTAAAGACAGAGCTTAGCTTCCGTTTGAATACAGAATGACAGCAATAAGACACTCTGCACATTTGGGTAGCACGCAGTGTCTCCAGATCCCTGGTTTCTCTTGGTGCTGAGGCCCTGACACCAACATCTCTTGTTTTCTCAGAACAAGTACCAAGGCTTTGTCTTTGACATTGTGACCAGACAAGCTTTTGACGTCGTCATCATGGTCCTCATCTGCCTCAACATGATCACCATGATGGTGGAAACTGATGAGCAGAGTGAAGAAAAGACCAAAGTCCTCAACAAGATCAACCAGTTCTTTGTGGCCGTCTTCACGGGGGAGTGTGTCATGAAGATGTTCGCCCTGAGACAGTACTACTTCACCAACGGCTGGAATGTGTTCGACTTCATCGTCGTGGTCCTCTCCATTGGGAGTAAGTGGGTGCCATATTTTGGGGAGGGGAGCTCAGCCTCCACTTTGGGACGTATAAAGATAGACTTTTCAACATGAAGGCCTAACCAAAAAGATTTTTTTATTCCTACTGTATGCGAAAAGAGCCCTGTTATTTGTTGTTTTCCAAGAGTAGTAGATTTTACATGCACTTTGGCTGCTCTCTCACTTAAAGACATTCTATCCTCGGGAACGGAGAGCAAATAATCACTCCTCCAAAGACCCTAATACTACAAAATGATAACTTGCTCATGGCCCTTGCTTTTTACTCTTCAAAAAAGAGGGCGGCAGGTGTGATGTGAGGGGAATCATACAAGATTTCCTGGAAAAAGGAACGGTTTTTCCAGCAGAGTGAAAGGAGATGAAGAGGTTGTTCAAACCACTGGTATGCCAAAGCTCTGAAGTCAAGTATCTCTATATCTGCTCACTTAGGGAATATGAATGCTATCAAAGCCAAGGGTTCAATACCAAGAGATCAAGGTTATTATGGCCTCCTGTGAGCATTACTGTGTAACAAACCCAGTATTTTGGAAGTCTCTGGTATTCAGAGGAAAGGAATAGAGTCACAGACTAATGTGGGGAATGGAACCACCATATCTGAGAACTCATTTATTTCTAACACTGAGCTGGGCTCCATGAAACCACACAGAGTCCCCTATGAAGCGTATGTTACTCTCATTTTACACTTTTAAACAGAGTCACAGAGATATTAAGAAAGCTGTCAAGGTCACACATTTCACAACACACAGAAATGAGTGACGAGCAGACTATGTGCTTCCAATGATCTAGCTGCCTCCCATGGGCAAGCAAGAAATTGACCCGATAAAGGCCGAGCGCAAGGTCACCTGTTTCATTTCACATCTGAAGTGTATCCTGATCTGATGTATCCTGATGTGTTACTTTTCTATCAGAGTTTACCTACAGATTTCATCTTCTGGTGGTTTAACATCAAGAGTTAATAGCATCTAAGTACAACCTGAAAGTTTGACTCAATTCCTTCACTTTGGTGTTGAAACTTAGCCTTGGATTTTGTTTGTTTGTTAAGGGAGGTTGATTAGTTCTTGGCTTTGGTTTGGCTGTTGCTAAGTTTTTATCTCCAAAGTGAGGGTTCCTAAAGGAACTTGATGGTAGAGAAGGAAGTTTGCTTATGTGACTTTGCATGTCGCTTTCTATTCCCAAATAAAAATATACTCAATATACCTATGATGGGGGGACTCTAACTACCAGCCCCCATGAATTACACAGCAATACTGTCCACTGGGCAGAAAACCCTCACACACACAGCAGTGAAACAGCTTGTCCATAGAACTCCCCTATCCATCCTTCTCTCCTTTCTCTTTCCCGTCTCCCATCTCCCTTCCCTTCCCTTCCTCTCCTCAACATCCCAGCAACACAAGTATTAGGAGTCTAATTGCTAAAGTATGTGAATTCATTCCCCTATATATCCTGGCCTTGGTGTAACTTAAATTATGATGTACACCCGTGGGTTGGCAGAATCTTTGTGGATTATATTATATTATATTATATTATATTATATTATATTATATTATTATAAATTATATTATATATAGTTACATAACATACCCCACTATCTGGAAAAATTTCCCAGTTAACCTGAACTTTGAGGGAGTCGCTATCACACAATGATTCTTTTTAAGCTCCAAATATATAATGATCTCCCAAGTTGCATCTAAGTTCCCTCAGCCGTCCAACACAATACAGTGACCATCTGTGTTCACATGGCAAAGGGAGAGGGCGGCAGGAGAAGAGGACCAAGGGAATTTTGCCAAGAGTGAGGGGACTATTTGCACGCCTCACTGTTTGTCCTAAGAGACCTTGACTCGTCTCTTAGCCAAAAGACTTGTCTCATCAGTTTGTGCCATCAATAGATCTCTACAGGTCTCTTAAGACCAGACTTTAAAACCCTTCAAGTTAACTACGTTAGAGTAAGAAATCCCATTCTTCATCTTTCTAACCTTGTTCACAATTGGGGTAAGGGGTTGTCACTGACCCTAAACAAACCCATCCTCAGGCATTAACAATGTTCAAACACAGCTGGAAATGAAAGCAGCAAATATAAGCCATTATGCAGACAGCTGGCCACTCAAAGCCATCCTGCCTTAGCTGTCAGCAATTCCCTGACTCCTCGGCCCCCCTTATAATTAATAGCAGACTCTGTACAATTAGCCACAGGACTTGTGCCAGGAACAGAGTCAATCTTCACAGCAGGAGGTGAGGAGATGCGTCATAGGGGTCCTAGACTCCAAAGAGCAGAAGGCCATGATGGAAGCAAAACATGACCCAAAGATGGCATTCTCCGGGAAGGGTGGGATCTGGGTCATAGATGAAAACGGACAAAAACTGTGAGCGTGTGGCATTGAGCATGGCGACCACAGAAGGGGACTGGCTAAGGAGAGTGAAGGTTAAACCAAGAACAGGCATTTTTCCAGATGAAGGTAAAAACAACATGGCAGCCAGGCTGAGACATTTGAGGGAAAGCGGATTTGTGTGGGCAGTGGACAGTTCCTGATGGCCCCTTCTGTGCCAGCTCCTAGGCCAGGTTCAGAGGGCCCGGGGGGTGGTCACTTGGAAATCCACGGCCAGCAGAGAGGAGGGCATGCGGTCAACTCTGTCAGATCTCACTGCTGGAGGCACTAATTATGTCCTCTCCACCCCTTCCCCTTTTCAAGGCCTGGTGCTTTCTGCGATCATGAAGTCACTTGCAAATTTCTTCTCCCCGACCCTTTTCCGTGTCATCCGCCTGGCCCGCATCGGTCGCATCCTCAGGCTCATCCGAGCAGCCAAGGGCATCCGGACGCTGCTCTTCGCCCTCATGATGTCCCTGCCCGCGCTCTTCAACATCGGCCTGCTCCTCTTCCTCGTCATGTTCATCTACTCCATCTTCGGCATGGCCAGCTTCCCCCATGTGAGGCCAGAGGCCGGCATCGACGACATGTTCAACTTCCGGACCTTCGCCAACAGCATGCTGTGTCTGTTCCAGATCACCACGTCGGCCGGCTGGGACGGGCTCCTCAGCCCCATCCTCAACACCGGGCCTCCCTACTGCGACCCAAATAAGCCCGTGCGCAATGACACCAGGGGGGACTGCGGGAGCCCCGGTGTGGGCATCGTCTTCTTCACCACTTACCTCATCATCTCCTTCCTCATTGTGGTCAACATGTACATCGCCGTGATTCTGGAGAACTTCAACGTGGCCACGGAGGAGAGCACTGAGCCGCTGAGCGAGGATGACTTCGACATGTTCTACGAGACGTGGGAGAAGTTCGACCCCGAGGCCACGCAGTTCATTACCTTTTCTGCCCTCTCGGACTTTGCAGACACCCTCACTGGCCCCCTGCGAATCCCCAAACCCAATCAGAATATGTTAATCCAGATGGACCTGCCGTTGGTTCCTGGAGACAAGATCCACTGCTTGGATATCCTTTTTGCCTTCACCAAGAACGTGTTGGGAGAATCTGGGGAGTTGGACTCGCTGAAGGCAAATATGGAGGAGAAGTTTATGGCAACTAATCTCTCAAGTGCATCCTATGAACCAATAGCCACTACACTGCGGTGGAAACAAGAGGACATTTCAGCCACTGTCATCCAAAAGGCCTATCGGAGCTACGTGCTGCACCGGATCCTGACAGTGTCCCACCCCTCAGGTGTGCCGAGGGAAGAGGAGGGGCCTGGGTCACCCACAGAGGAAGGTTTGGTTGCATTCATGACCGATGAGAATTGCGCACTCCCAGACAAATCGGAAACTTCATCGGTCACATCATTCCCACCGTCTTATGACAGTGTCACTAGAGGCCTGAGTGACAGGGCCCAGATGAGCACATCCAGCTCAATCCACAATGAAGATGAAACCACAAGGAAGGAGACACCTGCCCAAGAGCCCCATTGAGGGACGTCCCAGCATGGACATAGTCAATTCTGCTGTATCCTTCTCATCTATGACAAGTCTTCCCCGTTAAAGACGGCACCCAGCCAGCACCTCCCCAATGCATGTCATCGGTCACTCTGACAGAACTGGCAGGACCTGCAGTTGGTGCCCACCTCTGGAGAGACTTCAATACACCAACAGGATTTATGACCAAGAGCATCTCCAGTGTGACTTTGAACTTGAATTTCAAGATCAGACGGTCCTTTCATGATGGCTATAACCAGAGCTCACATTTACCCAGACTAACTTCTCAGAACCAGAACTCCCAGGGATCCAGGGCAAGGAAGTAACTGAAGGGTCAAGGTCATCCTCTATGCAGTACTGCGTAGAGCGTGGCAATGTTATTTACGATTTTGCATGAATGCATGTTGAGACCTTCCAGACAAGTGCCCTGGCTCAGGGGGGCACGCCTGGTCTATCTCATGAAAGGCCGTTGAGATATCCATTAAAGTTATTATTTTTAAAGGTACGTGCAGACCGATGTTACACCTTAAGTCATTGTGTTACTTGAATTACGTCATGCTGGTGTGTGTCATTTCCCTCCCTTCCAGGGTTCCTGATTTTTCAGTTTGAGCTTCAGGCTGGGTGGGACAGGCAGGAATACTGTGCTGGAAGATGGAGATGTAAATTCCAATCCTAAGTCTTCCAATGACTGATTGCCTCATAGCATTGGTCCAAGCTCTTTCCTCTCTCAGTATCTGTTTCCCCACTTCCAAGACTGAGCAAGAGTAAAGGGGACAGAACTCTCTCTACAGCTCGTGCATCTCATGTTGTAGAACTCAATGGCGCCCTGACAATTAAGACAAGGAAAGTAATACCTTTTGTGGCTGCAATTGTCTGTCTTCTGGTATTGGTGTCATCAGGTTAATTCCAACTCACCGAGTAAAATTCTAACAGAGTAGAATTTAGACATAATGTTTTCTAGGGTGTCATTTTTAGAGAAGCAAATCACCAAGTCTTTCTCTCATGGAACTGCTGGGTGGATTCAAACCTCTCTACCTTATCAGTTAGTAACCAAGTACTTAAACCATTGCACAACCAGAGTTCCTTCAAATGTTCTTAATCATCTGTTATACACCAGGCACTGATCTAAACACCAGACATAAAAAGGGAGTTGTACCTCAAAGGAAGAGCTGGATTTAATACAATGAATGGGGTGAGAGTGGTCAGAGAAGAGTATTGCACGTCAAAAGCAGGCACTGAGGTGAAGGAGGACGATAACTTCATATGATTCCAACATAGGGGACAAGGGATCCTTAAGACCGCTGTGAGCATTTATTAATTTTTGGAATAATCCCAACCATCATCACAAAGATCAGGTCAATTTGTTCACTCATTTTATAAAATCTTTCCATTTATGTCATTACAAAACCTAGGAAAGGATTTGCACTGTAACTAAAACAAGCCTGGAAGCAGGAGCAGCTTCAGAAATGGCTTGCTTCCAGAAACTCTATGCATGAACAGTGCTCAGGCCTTTCGTTCATAGGGTCTCTATGAGTCATCTACAACTCGACAGCACCTAACAACAATAACAACAATGACAGAGAGAGAGAGAGAGCTACGTTGGCCTAGTGAACAGAAAGTTATGCTACCAAGCCAAAGGTGGGTGATTTTAATCTGCAGCCCTCAGGCTGGGTTCAAATTGCTTTCCTGTTAAACATTCTTCTAGATGGTACAGCACTGGTCTGTGCATTGCTGTACAGAGGTAACTCGTGGTTGCTGTGATGCTGAACACTGGGACACTGATGTGCCAAATGTGGTAATGGGGACCCATGGTGGACAGTGTTGGCTGGAGCTTCCCAACTAAAACAAGCCTGGAAGCAGGAGCGGCATCCACTTCCGAAATGGCTTGCCTCCGGAAACTCTATGTACGAACAGTGTTCAGGCCTTTCGTTCATAGGGTGGCTATGAGTAGTCTATGACTCGACGGCACCTAACAACAACAACAACAATGTAAATGTAGGTGGTTCGAATCCATCAGCTGTTCTGTGGGAGAAAGATGGACAATCAACTCTGTGATTTACTGCCCCTGAAAGCCCGCTGGAGGGTCAGCTCTGGGTTGGTTCCTACTCCGTGGTACCCAACAACAGGTGTGGGAGCAGAAAGGCACATCCTTCTCCTGCAGAGCTGGGGGGTTCCCACTGTTGACCTTTCAATTAGCTGCCCAATTACTAATCCACTGTGACACCAGAGGCAAACAAAAACAGAGTGTATCACTTCCAAAGTAGGAAAAGGATAGAGTAAGTTAAGAAATAAGTGTCGTGGTTACGTGTCTTCGAGTCAGAACTGACTTGTAGCTGACCCGCCAGTGGATTTTTAGAGTCTGTGACTTGCAGAGAGGAGATTGCCCATCTTTCTCCCAAGGAACAGCTAACCGGTGGACTCAAACTGGCTGTCATGGGGCTGGCAGCACAATTCCTTACCACTAGGCCACCAGAGCTCCCCACAGGCACAAGTAGAGAAGACAAAGTATTGCAGTATGTTTAAACACAAATATATAAGTAATTGCATTAAATGTGAATTTACTAAAGGCTTCAAAAATGGTCAAAGATTATCAGGCAGGATTTAAAAATTTTTCAAACAAATGTTATTTACAGAGAGACACACCTAGTATTTAAGGTTAGCAAATGGAAATAAAAAAAAGAATAGAAAAATCATGTTTTTATACTTTGCTATTTTCTAAGAATAGCAGATGAATACACAGTAATATAAAAAAGCTATAAAATACATATGTTCTTTTCAAGAACTGCCAGATAATTTACAAAAATAGTCCAGATACTTGACCACAGAATAAGATTCAAGCCGTTTCAAAGGAGTAAAATCACATAGAGTATGTTTTCACCCCATAATACAATTTGTCTGAGAACAACAAGGAAAAACTAATGCACCATCATATATTTAGACCGTAATAAGAGTATATCTAACAATATATCAAAAAGTCATGAAATAGTGACTGGGAATGAGTGTATGAAACACAAAATGAGGGAAGGATAGTGTGAAATGCAATGGACATGAATTTAAAAAATAAAAAAATTTAAAAAAGTCGTATAAGAAGAGAAGCTTTTATTTCAATGCTAATAAAAATAATATCCATTAAACTTTAGTTACTGCCACTCTGCCACAAAAACTATTAAATAAGGAAATGTATCATTTGTGTGCTGTCAAGTCAAAAATCAGCTCATAGCTGACCATCCCCAGGAGTTTTTCAGAGACAGGATATTAGGAGATTACCTATTTTTCTCCTTCAGAGCGATTGGTGGATTTGAACTGTGTACCTTTGAGTTAACGTCACAGCTCCTTACCACTAAACCACCAGCTATTCTAAGAAATGCATCGTTTGAAATGAATGTATGTAATATGTGAGTCTCAAGGGTAAAGCTAATAATTCCTATTCATTCATTTACTTGGAAAAAAGAAGTAAAGGAAAGAGAAGTAAGGAAGATTAAAAAAAAAAAACCAACCACAAAACTACATACGAAGGATAAAAGTAAAATTAGCAAAGCCAAAAAGAATGTTTACTTGAGAGAAAAATATTAATGTAGACATCAAACTAATCACAAAGTTAACCATAAAAATGGCAAGAAAACAAAAATAAGAAATATCAGAAATTATAAAGAAAACAACATTACAGATGCTATAGACCTTGGACAAATAATAAACTTGTATTCATAAATTTGAAGATGCAGTTGAAATGAGAAAATGTGAATATTCACAAAAAATTTAATTTTTGAATGAACAATTAGAAAGCGTAATTATTCATTTAATCATTAAATAGAATCAATTAATAGCTAAAAATTCTTTCTGCCAAGAGGTTTTTCCAGGCTCAAAAGTTTTTTATTGCAATCAAACATGGAATAATTAAAGTCTTATACAAACTCTTTCAAAGAACAAAAAAGAAATACTACCACTCAACTCATTTTTTTTAATACCTAATACAGTCTTGATGCAAAACTGACAAGAACAATTTGAAAAAGGGAAATTAAAGGCCAATATCATTCATGAACATAGATGAAATTGCATTGTAAACATGTCTGGTTTTCCTCAAATTGATTCATAGCTTCAAAGCAATCCAACAACTTTCAAAAAGTTTTATACAGAAATGCAAAGGGCCAAGTATAACCAAGACTTTCTTGAAGGAAAGGACAAGGGGAAGCACAAATTCTACCTTAGAGACAAAGACTGCGAAGCTTCACCTTGCCTATTTTGGACATGTAGCTAGTATTCCTTGGAAAGAGACTTCAAGCTTGGAAATACGGAGGGTTAGCAAAGGAGAGGAAGACCCCTGACAAGATGGGCTGACGTGGTGATTGCACAACGAGCTCTAGTGTGTCAGAGATGATGAGGATGGTACAGGATTGGCAGGGTTCAGGTTGGCTGTTCATAAGGTGTTTATGAGTCCTACTCAACAGCATCTAACAACAACACAATTAAGCCACAGTGATTAAAAGTCTAACACTGATGCTCTATAAGAAATAGAGTTTTTGAAGGTCTGTTAGTTTGGAAGTGGATGGCCAATCTCTCTTTGTAGTCTGTCTTAATTTGGATGCTCAGCTTTAGAACAGTATCTGACAGAACAAACATTTTACCAAAAGAAACCACTTCCCCTAAACAGAAGTAACCAATGGACTCAGTGTCAGTGCTTCCCCAACCCTTGATGTGTGGCTTGTCCTCTTCCTTTACCTGCTCCATCAGCATCCCCTGCTCCACCTGCATCCCCCGACCAACACCTCCCACTCCCCCAGCCAATCCTTGATACGATGGCTCAGGCCTCAATTCACTTCTGTGATGTCTCACACTTCATGCTGCTGCTGGTCTATCACGCTGCAGGCAGTCTTTCTTGAGTTTAGGATGCTCTGAGTCCAAATTCATATCGTGAATGTACCACAGACCAGCAAGAGAACAAAACAGACTGTTTTGGAGAGGATAAAACCAAGTTTCTTCTTGGAGGCAAGAATTTGAAT